TGAATGCCAATTTAGCTTGTCTGTGAAATGTCATTCCTTGTTGTTGGTACATTGCCCCCCAAACAAATGTGTCTCTGGACGGGATCACCAACTGACCATGTTTTCAATGGTTCCTCTACCCTGAGGTGGCAGCATAGAGCAGCACCATCATAACAAACAGAACACCTTAGCAAGTGTAGCTGAATTTTCCTCATAGGTTAAGATATCATTGGTGGTGGGGGAAGCTTCAAAATATTCTTGGACTTGTCATTTCACCTTTTAGGGCATTAGTCTACAAATGCTATGTTTACCATTGCTTCATCTAAAAGTTGGGGAAATGCTACTGTGAGTGGGAGCTTAGAAAAAAGAATCAGGCCAGAGCAGAATGCTTTCTTTTGTCCCTCCAATCTCTTCTTACTGAGCCTCTAGTCCCATAGTAAAAGGGGGTCAAAGCTGTCCCCTCCTCAGAGGAGCTCCAAGCTCATGATCTAGGAACACTTGAAAGCACCACTGCAAGCCTCAATAAAACTAAACAATGGAAAAGGCACAAAAAATAGCCTAATTTAATAAGTTCATCAGATATCACTTTTAAGAAATGAGCATAGAGCAGATGGAAGCTACAGCAGCACAAAGTCTAGCCTTAGGGGCCAGGCATGAATGTAAATTTAAGGCAGTGCTACTGGGAAGTGGGGTATACTCAGACCCATGCTCTGACTTCAGGCACACTTAACAGTCTGTCAGTGTTTTAAGGAAAAGTGTTCTTCTCTGTGCTGCAGAGGACCTTCTGTTCCACACTCCGGGAAGGGACCCATATCATGGTTAAGACTCAGCACACTTTCTGATTTAGCTCTACCCAGGGGGTCATCAGTGAAAAATTAAGAGGAGAAAAGGAAGCAGGCTGGGTAGAGAGGCAGAGCTTATGATGGTCAAGCATTCACTATATGCCAGGTGCCATTCTAAACATTCTATTAATTGACTCTGAAATGTTCACAAGAAACTTATAAGATAAGCACTATTATTATTCCCATTTTGCAGATGAGGAAACTGAAGCACAGATAAGGTAGGCAACTTGCCTAAGACCAGACAGCTAGTAAGTGGCCAATTCAGGATTTAAATAACAGTTGTCTGGCTCCAGAGTCAATGTTCTTAAATATTATGCTACTAGAGGCCCGTTGCAGGAAGATTCCTGCAAGAATAGGGCTTCCTGCGACCTGAGCAAAGCAGAGAAGTGAGCGAAGCCCGCCAAGATGGGTTTCCCTGCCTGCCACCGCTGCTGCTGCCACTGCCCAGTGCTTTCCCTCCCGCCACCCCACACTTTCCCTCCCACTACTGCCACTGCCCCCTTTCCATTTTCCTTCCCTCTTCCTTCTATGCTGTCTTCAGTCTTCACTCTGTGCCTGCATATGCAAATTAACCACTATCGTTATTGGGTTAATTTGCATACTCACTCTGATTGGCTGGTGGGTGTAGTGGACTGATGGTCACTTTGCATGTTTCTCTTTTATTAGTGTAGATATTGCCTCTACCTCTTTTTCTACTTTTCATTTAAAGACAGCTGACAACTCTAAGCAAGGATAAATATTTCACCTTCTACATATAATCTTGCTCACACACAAGACTTCAGAGTGGACCCAGGAGGAGAGGCTCTTAAGTTGTGAAAATTCTTTTCCCAAAGCAGAGCAATGGGACATAAGTCATGAGTCCAGAACATGTGGCGGCAGTGGTAAGTCATAGAAATGCTGTTTCTATTGGGGGTGGGAGATTTAGTGGAAATCTCCTTTTAAAAATGCAAAATTAAAAGTTAGGCAGTTGCTGAGTACAATAAGACATGGAAAAAATTATCAAACTTGGACCAAAAAGGTCCCTTTCTTCCTCTTCCCTGAGGAAAGTATAGGAGTTGTGAATGGCAGGAGGCAAGTTTTGGGCAATAGGCAAAATACAATTAATTAATGTCAGAAGTCTCTGGTCATAGAGAGTCTATGGTTCTAAAGGAAATTGAATGAATGTCCTTCCTTATCTTTACCATTAACATGCCAAGTGGCAAGCCAGGGCATACAAGAAGTCAAAGGCCCAATGATAACATACTGCCTCCTGAACCGAGTTCCCATCTGGGCCTGACTCTCACATATAAATGCTTTAAAAAATCGAAAAGCTTTTGTTTTGTTTTACAATAGTTAAGGCAAGTCTGTCTTGCTTTCTTTAGTCAGTTTCACTGTAACCTCCTTTAAATTATAATTGACAAAATCTCAGCCCCTTAAGTAAGGAAAGGAGAGAGCAGAATTAGGCCCATTCCCAGACCCAAAGGGGCTAGCTCTACCCTGACCCTGTCCATACCTCTGCTTCTGTTCTTCTCTGTTCCCTTCTCTGCCACTCTCCTCCTAACTATTCAGTTAGTCAGCTGGCTAGATAACTTCCAAAGCATTCTGAGTGTCCTATTTTGTAAAACAAACTTATTTCTTTAAACTTATTTTATATTTTAGAAGAGAGGAAGCATTCCTTCCTTGAAATCTTTATCCATAATACACATATCATCCTTGCAGGAAGCAGCATGGTACTATAAAGTCAGATGTTGATTCAAATCCTAACTCTTGCCTTGACTTTCCTCTGTAAAAAGGTAAATTTTTCTACTTCATAAGGTTCTTGGAGAAATTGAAGCAATAATATATAATATACCTACCATAATGCCTTGTACATAGAAGTTATTAAACATATACTAACCAGAGGCCTGGTGCACAAAATCATGCACTTGTGGGGGGAGGGTCTCTCAGCCTGGCCGGTGCCCTCTCACAGTCTGGGATCCCCATGATCAATCACACCAAAGAGGTAGGCCCTGTCCACCTGCTGCAGCTTGCCGGTCAGTAGTCTGGGCCTCCCTCTTTGGGGTGATCGTGAGCCCCCCAATTGATCAATCGCCCAGCCAGCTAGTGGCCTGGACCTCCCTCTGTAGGGTGATCATGGGGCGATGAACGTGCCCCCAACCAATCACATCACACCTGCCTTGGCTGGCCTGGCACCAGTGGGTGTCATAGAATGTTTGTCCAGAAGGTTGTCCAGAAGGTCGTCTGGATGGTCCTTCTGCTGTTTGGTTGATTTGCATATTATGCTTTTATTATTATGGATACCCTTTTTACACAAGAGGTCAAAAGTCACTTAGACTTACCTAGAAACCTCAGAGCCTTATTACTCAGATGGGTTACTTAGCATATGTGTTATTTATCTCTCAAAACAAAATAATGGTAGTAGGAGTGAAGGAAAAGGCTCTATACCTCCTAGAAAAGTTGAAGGATTAAGAAAGAAACACAGCTTGAAACATCTCCCCTGTGTACACCCCTCCAGCATGTGGTTGGGGGGCACAAAGCTAAAGGAGGAGTTCTTTTGGTACTTGAGAACAAGAAAAGTGGTGCCACTTTTAAGATGGCTTCTCAGTTCTTTCCCTACATACAATGGGTCAGAGCTCAATGGAGGCATCGGGAAGCAATGTGGGGAAAGGGAAATTTTATTTGAATCTGTATACAACAGTTAGGGAAGGGCATTTGTCACTTTGTTCCTTATCCTTCAAGCCACATGAAAAGCAACAACAGGAAGTCAGAGCATCAGAGACAAAAGCATCTAAAGAACCAACAAATGCAAACACTTAACAAGTGAGAACACTTTATTAAAGAACAAGTACATTTCTGGGGGTGGAGAACAAAGGAGCAAGTTACAGCACGGTATCTCAAGTTTGCCTTCCATTACAATATCAATCCACACCGAGTAACCCTTTTAAAAACACTCCTCCATTCAGTTCACATATATAGGAGAGTCAGTGAGTGAGTACATGACAAGACTGACAGGTATTTCTTCTCCAGTAAGACTTCTTTCACAAAATGACTATATAGATGCACTTGAAAGAATTAAAAGGTCAGTTTGGAACAGTAAGTTTTAGAAAATGAACCTTTGCTCATTAAAATCCTTCTTAGAAAGGTCTCAACATATCACTCTCATGTTACATCTAGATCAAGATTAGGAAACAATAGAAAAAATAAGATCTGAAACCATTTCAAGAAAGAAATCAGAATACATTATCTCCAAGCACTAACAGTGCCCAACCGGAGAAACACTGGACCAGTTTACACAGTACTTGGCTATTCTGGTGGACAAAATGGTATGTAGACCATATTCTGTGTGGTAATACATTGTGGACACAAACACTAAGAAAGATGTGGTACATGTTGAGAATGAAGATGTCTTGCCTTTCATTAGAGAAATGAGCTCTCCAACAACCACTGTAACAGTTTAAATGCAAAGAATTCAACACAGGCTGGAAGACACTTCAGCCTCAGTCACTCTGGTCCTCTGGAACCACCAAGAACTATTTGCTGTGCATGTCCATGACTTGGTCTAAAGGCTATTATTTAATTAAAGTGCTCTTTTAAAAGCAGCCCCATTATAAGGTATAGTGAAGGTGTCTAGAACCAGAAGGAATTGAATAATTTTCTTACCATTTCACAAAAATCATTAGACTCAAGAAAGGTAGAAACTGCTTAAAAACAAGAGGAGTTAAAAGCAAAGTTCTAGAAATTTGTCAAGGTAGAAAAGGCATTAAAAGCATAAATTAGAGAGGAAGGAGAGGACCTACTCACCTTTCTACCATCTTCTCCTGTCTTTAGTAACCCAACCCTGCTTCCCAGATCCTTGGCCTCAGACCAGGAACACATTTAAACATATATTGTTACTAATGCCAGAGGCAGCCAGGGCTTCCTAGGGAAGTAGGAACAAGAACAATAAGACAGGATAAAAAAGTTATTTTAAAATATTTTAGAAGTTAATTAAAACTCAGAAAGACATAAGAATGGACTTTGCAAGTGTAGTAGCTTATGTACAAATAAAAACATTTTGAAGAGACCCTTATTCTTGAACCTGTTTTCAAAAGAGGAGCAAGTCTGCAACACTCTAGCACAGTGAGCTTTATAGAAATACATATTTGTATACACATAGACATAATACACATATTAAATTATAAATCTTTACTCTTGGTTTCTTCACTTCCTCTGACTTTCTCTGGCCAACTCACAAACCAGCTTCTGAGCCATTGAGGAACGAAGTTGCAGAGTCCCTTCTGCCCAAGATCCTGGGTACTGTCGCATCTTCTGCCATAAGCTCACTTCTTCCCCAGTCGAATCCATCCAGTCCACCACTTCCCCATTACTGATCCCTGAAAAGAAATACCAGAGGAAGGTGAACAGGAACCCCGCTCCTTAGCTCACCAGAAAAGATGGGTTTACAACAAGTATAGGCCCAATAAATAGACTGTGCTATCCCCAATAAAAGACTGTGCTATCAAGATGAACTAATAGGGAGAGCAGTCTTCTCTGGGAAGTATTCCCTGATGATTCTGCACAGCTATTCCCGAGACTCTGTCAAGAGGCTTCTGATTAATGAAATGGTACTCCAACTGGGACACCAATAGTTAGAGACTTCTTATTCTGAGGCTGGTGTGGAGCTCTGATATCTGAGAACTGACCTCATGCCAGAACTATTGCCCTCTGTTATTGCTAACTTGACTTAAATGTTCTGTGTGGTGTTATGTGTGAATACTTTTTTTCTCTAGCTGTAAACTCCAGGCCTGAAATTAGGATTGTATGTGGCCTCATTACTATTCTCTTGTACATTCATTCAATAAACATTTCTTGAGTGCCGACTATTTGCCAGTACTCTTCTAGTATCTGGGGAATATAGTGGTGAGGAAAGCAGAAAACGTCCTACCTGTCGGTGGCTTACATTTGAATAGGAAAGACAGAAAATATCCAGTAAATCAACAAGAGTAATTTAGATAATGAGCTAAATGTCATGAAGTTAGTAAACAAGGTGATTTGTAGTGCATAGAGCAGGGCATCCTTTAGATGGAGTGGTCTGAGGGCCTCTATGAAAAGGAGACATTTGAGTCAAGATCTGAAGGATAGGAAGGAGCCAGCCTTTCCAAACAGGGAGAACACTAATTGCTGAGGTTATAAAATGGGAATAAGCTTGATATATTTGGAGAGCAGAAAGAAAGTCATTGTGGTTGGAGCATAGTGAGTAAGCAGAAGAGATACAGAGATGGGTCATAAAGGAACAGAGAAAGTCTAGATCATATGGGGCCTGTAGGTATGCTGAGAACTTTGTTCTAAGTGTAATAGGAAGCCACTGAAGAGTTTTAAGCAGGGAGCTGACATGAACTGGCTTATATATGTAAAAACATCATCCTAGATGTTTTGTGTTAAATGCTTTGTATGAGTTAATATATAATTACTATTTAAGGCCACAGGAATGCAGAGACTATAGAGAAAAAAAATCTAAAACTATGCCTTAAGAAACACCAACATTTAGAGTTTGTGTATAGAATAAGGAAACTACAAAGAAAATTGAGAAGGTGAGCAGTGAGTTAAAAGGGAATCAGGAGTATAATGTCTTCATTAAAAGCTAAGTATTTCAAGAAAGGAGAAATGATCAGCTATGTTAAATAGCACTTAAAATTCTAGTAAGAGTAAAGCAAAACTTGGACAGAAGCAATTGCTCAGTGGAGTGGTGGGACAGATGTCAGCTTACAGTGGATTGAAGACTAAAGAAGAGGTGAGTGAGTGGAGATAATTATTTTTAATAAGTTAAAAGGGAGTTGTAGGATTAAGGGAAGGTTTATGTTTTTCAAAGTCAGAAATACCAGAGGATATCTGTTTTCACCTCCAGTAGGGAGGCAGAGAGAATGAAACTGATCTGTCAGGAGAGATAGGAGATTCCAGAAGTGAGGTTATTGAGAGGTGAGGATATAATTCAAACATTTGAAAAGAGACTGGTCTTTGCTAGAAAGGACCCTTCTTTCATTATGACAGAATGGAAGATGAAATTATAGGTACAGATATAAGTAGGTTTTCAGATTTTTTTTTTTTTTGTGGGAAGATGATGGATGGTGTTCCTGCCAATCAGGGTCACATTTATCTGTATACATAAGAAAGAGCACATAAGCTGTATTCCTCTAGGCTTGCACATAGTAGGTACTCAATAAATATTGGTTGAATATTAACTCAAAGAAAAGAAAACAACTCTTGTCATAAAGAATCTTTGTAGAGAGGAAGTTAGTTATATTGGGAGCGAAGTGTATAAAAGGCTTTTAAGAAATTGAGGAAGGGGAGAAGCTCTCACCTGTGCCAACACCCAGCCTGACCCCTCCCAGGAAGTCATTGCTGGCCAGGGGCTCCCGGTCCCACACAGTCAGTTCCAGGCACATATGTTGTAGATCTTCCAGCTTCACACCATTGTAGACAAATGTATGGTTGTAGTGGGGATTCAAGGTCTTCTTCATCACAGGAGTTTTACGCTTACTGGTCTTGTTCCTCATGGGAAGGAGGTATCTGGCAGAGGGTGGGTAATAATCAACAACCTACTCAAGTTTGGCAATATGTATTTAAATTCTCCTTTCCACTACCACAGACCTAGCTCAGGACTATGTACTAACTCTCAGATCCTAATATAAATATTCCTGCGTTGGAATCTGAAGCAGAGTTCCTACTACCCCCACTAGATCATTCATTTGATTCAATTCCTTCAACCTAGAGAGAAAAATTAATATGTTATTCTATTTAAAATATTATATTAAATTAAAAATGTTTTTTTAAATATTTGGTTACATTTCTTTTGGGCGAGATTCTCTTTAAATAAAACCAATGTTAGTAACTATAGGTATAGCCAAACATAATTTACTTGAGAACTTAATTCAGGGGTGATCTATAATTTGGGGAAAACTAGCATTGCTTAAATATTATAGGGAACAAAGTAATGAATCCCCAAATCTTAACTGTCAGGGGACAGATGTTTTCTATGATTATTAAGGACTAATTAAGAATATAAGTCTGTAACAAAGGAAAAGCCAAGAATATCTGTCTCCACCCTCCTCTTTGGCAATCAGCACTACAATCCAGTCCAAACTGAGTTTAGACCAGTGCAAATGTGGTGGTTTTGCAGTAAATTTCAGGAAAAAATGTTGGTTGCTGGAGGTGGTAGAACATGCAAGTATAATATCCACAGAGAAAGGTTAAACTGGGCTTCTCCCTTAGCTCTCTTATCCTAAAACTGGTTAATTTAATGCTGGTCCAAGGACTCACCCTTTGACAAAGCTGTCTGAAGTCCCTCCTGATTTGGCAGCCATCAGGTTCTTGGCTTCTTTGATCCATACCTGGAGCTCTCCCCCTTCCCCACCTTTACCTGTAAGGGATGTCAGCCATAGCAAATAAGTGAGCCCCTACAATTCCAGATTTCTCTTGAGCTTTATCTACACAGCATTTCCTTCCCTTGCTCCTGAAGACAGCAAGTTCTATAATTGGACTGCACCTGGCCTGGATTCTCAGTACCTAGCAGAGTTCCTGACAGTAAGCAATATATGCTCAGTTAAGAAAAACAACAGTAATAAATGCTTATAGAAAACTTGCTATGTGTCAGATTCTATATTAGGCATTTAATTATTAAAACAACCCTATTATGTATAAAATAGGGTTATAGATGAGAAAATCGAGCCTTAGAGAAATAAAGTTGCCTAACATTAATTGAATGGTTAAAAAAGAGGACTCCTCCACTGTGTTCTTGATTCTACTCCCACTTCACAGGATTCATCAGGCATCATCAATCTCAACCCCCATCTCCCATTTTTAATATCTGTTTTTCCACTAGTCCCTTCTCTTTAGTCTAAATATCTGCTAATCTCATCTCTCCTTTTAAAAATATATTTAAAAAAGAAAAATGCCTTTCAATCTTGTCTCATGTTCAGGCTATTATCTATGTCTTTCCTTTCTTTTGCCATCAATTATCCTGAAAAAAAAAAAAAGTCCACACTCAGTACCTCTACTTCTTTGCCTCATTCACTCTGCCCAGTTCCTAGTGAAATCTGGTTTCTGCTTTAACCTCCATAAGCCATGTCTTCTCAATCCTCATTGGGTCTGACCTCCCAGTAGTATTTCAGTACTGTTGACAAATTCCACTCCCAAGAGAAACCAAAATGGCGGCATAAGGTAAACAACTAGACTGCTGCCTCGCACAACAATTTCAAAACTGCAACTGGAAGACAAAGCGGACATCATCTAGAACCACCAGAAAGCTAGCTGAGTGGAAAATCTACAACTAGAAGGAAAGAGAAAAGGACACTAAGACCCAGAGGAGCTGTGGAGGACAGAGGCGAGGAGACCCGCGCATGCGGAAAGGGTGGGCGGCTGAATACACAGCTGGCTTACTTGCGGCGCTCAGAGAGGGTGGACAGCAAGCACGTATCTAGCTTTCTTGTTCAGGGGGAAACAAAACCTCCCAACTGCACTGAACTCCAATTCTGGGTGAAACTTTGAATACCCAGACTCATTCAGGGAGAAACTGGACTGTCTGGCAATGGGTGAAACTTGAGAGCAACCTTCTCACAAAGGTGCTTATAGTCATTGCCATGGGACACTGAGACACAGGGGCCTCTTAGGGTGGGGCTGATGGGAAACCAAGGCTGTCTGCTCCACCCTGAGACTCCGCCCCTCCATGCTGAACACAGAAGCTCTCCCAGCAGAGACACAGCTGATCCTCACAGCCAATTTGCCTGAAGGTCAACTCTCCCCAGTGATACTAACAACAATCTAGGCTTAACTACAATAAAAATGTACACACAGCCCACAAAGGGGCACACCAAGAGTGTCCACCTCACGTAACTGGGGAGGCTGAGCCACTGGGCCCTGCTAAGACACCTAGAACACAAAGCCACTCCATCAATTCAAGGAAGCAGCTAAAATAGGGAGGCAAAAGGCAGGTCACAAATGAAGGAAAGCAAACAACTGGATATAAGGTTTTTCAAGAATTTCCTAGAAAAGGCCGATAAATTCAATGATACCCTTGAGGATATGAAAAAGGATCAACTAGAAATTAAGCATACACTGACTGAAATAAAAAAAATATTATACAGAGACCTAAAAGCAGACTAGAGGATCCCAAGAATCAAGTCAAAGAATTGGAATATAAAGACACAGAAAACACTCCTCAAGAAAAAGCAAAAAGCAAAAAGCATAAAAAAAATATAAAGATAGTGTAAGGAGCCTCTGGGACAACTTCAAGTGTACCAACATCAGAATTATGGGGGTCCCAGAAGAAGAGAGAGAGTAAGATACAGAAAACCTATTTGAAGAAATAGTGACTGAAAACTACCCCACCTGGTGAAAGAAATAGACTTACAAGTCCAGGAAGTGCACAGAACCCCAAACAAAAGGAATCCAAAGAGGAACACACCAAGACACATCATAATTAAAATGCCAAGAGCAAAAGACAAAGAGAGAATATTAAAAGCAGAAAGAGAAAAAACAATTAGTTACCTACAAGGGAGCACCCATATGATTGTCAGCTGATTTCTCAACAGAAACTATGCAGGCCAGAAGGAAGTGGCAAGAAATATTCAAAGTGATGAATAGCAAGGACCTACAACCAAAATTACTCTACCTAGCAAAGTTATCATTCAGAATTGAAGGACAGATAAAGAGCCTCACAGATAAGAAAAAGCTAAATGAGTTAATCACCACCAAACCAGAATTATATGAAATGCTGAAAGGTATTCTGAAGAAGAAGAAGAAGAAGAAGAAGAAGAAGAAGAAGAAGAAGAAGAAGAAGAAGGAGGAGGAGGAGGAGGAGGAGGAGGAGGAGGAGGAGGAGGAGGAGGAGGAGGAGGAGGAGGAGGAGGAGGAGGAGGAGGAGGAGGAGGAGATGATAAAGGTAAAAATAATGAACAACAAATACATATCTATCAACAAGTGAATCTAAAAATCAAGTGAACAAAAAAATCTGATGAACAGAATAACCTGGTGAATATAATAGAATCAGGGACATAAAAAGGGAGTGGACTGATAATTCTCAGGGGAAAAGGGGAATGAGGGGTGCAGGAAGAGACTGGACAAAAAGCGTACACCTATGGGTAAGGACATTGTGGATGAGGTAAGGGCAAAGAGTGGGGTAGGAACATGGTGGATGGGAGCTATGAGGGAAAAAAGAGAAACAATTGTAATAATCTGAGCAATAAAGATTTATTAAATTTAAAATATTAAAAAATAAAATAGTAAAAAAAAATCCCACTCCCTTCTTCAAGCTCTATCCTAGCATTGCTTTCTCCTGATAACCCCCTATTTCACTAGCTTTTCTTTCTCTCTGCAACCTTTATGATGGTGACCTTTTCCAAAGCTCTATCCTTGCCTCTCTTCTCTAGTCATTTTGCGCAACCTCCTTAGGGATGTCATTGATTCCCCACATCCTATAGTTAGAGTTTTGATGTAGGTATCTTTTAAAAGAACTTTGTGGTTCTATTGCCAATAGATAAATTTCAACTCCTTACTATTAGGTTCAAAGCCCTTTTCAGTGGGGCTATAGCCCCAGCAACAATTTCAGCCCCACTCCCATATCTATATTCTTAATTCTAGTCCCACTGAAAAAAAGGACTTCACTCCTTCACACTCACATACTCCCCACATTTACCATGATCATGCTATTTTCTCTTCTGGAAATGTTCTTCTCACCCCATCTTCCTTTTCTGCCTGATAAAGTCTTAAGTCCAGTTTCATCATTACCTTCTCTTTAAAGCTCTCCCAAATTTAACCAGAAAGAATTATCAATCTGCATCTATATTCTTTTTGCATATGACTTCCTTGCTAAACTAAGCTTCTCAATGGGAGCAAATACCATGTCTTATTCATCTACATATCCATAGTCACTAGCACAGTGCCTGGTATGATGATTCACTCTTCCTCTGTCTTCAACTTCCTGTCCCTCGTTCTTTAATACATCTTACAACCATCCTTTCTAAGCCCCAAGGTTTCTGTTCTGTGCTGCCCTCTTAGTAGCTTGCCACAGCTGGACCAAGGCCAAGTCAGTTTAATAACCTAAAAAATTAAATGCCAACCCTGAGGTATTCCCTTCTGGTTAAAAAATGCAGAAAAGGCTTACTTAGTTAAGTAAAAGAATTTTCCCTAGAAGATGATCCAGGGCTCAACTCAATGCTAGCTACCTCATACAGATCCTTTACAGAAGATAAGGGCTAAACCCAGGGCCCCAAAGAAAACTCACTCTTTTTCCGGTCACCTCCAACAGGGAGTTTGGAGGCTGGGATGTATTTCAATGAAACCACCAACTCGCCTTTGTGTGATGGCAAGCCAGTCAGGGACTCAGCACTGATCTGAAACACATATAAGTACTATAAGTATATCATTTTGTTTAATCCTCAAAATAGTCCCTATTAAATAGTTACTATTGTTCCCATTTTACAGATTATGGAACAGGGGAACAGAGAGGTTAAGTAATTTGCCCAAGTTCACACAGTAATTAGCAGAGGCAGGATTCAAATTCAGGCATTAACCACTCTATTACACTGCATAGAACTCCCCCCCCCCCCACACACACACACCAAAGGATACAAACAAGCTTAACACTTATTTCTTCTAAGAAAAGGAATGGAATGGTGAAAGAAAAGAGGGCTTTCACATTTTATTCTGTATATGTCTATACAGAGAATAGCATGTATCACTTGAATAATCTTCAAAAAAACATTTTCTTAAAGACAGCTTCTCATAAAAAAAATTGAAGTCTAGATGGAACTCTGTTACAAGGTCTTGAATATGCAGCAATTTTTTATTTCAAATTTATTTATGTTATTTTTGATTAATGACTATTTCTATCACTAGAATATAAATGCCAGAAGTACAGAAATCAAGCCTGTTCATCCTAGTATACCCAACACTTAGCAAAGTTCCTGGCACATAGTACATGCTCCACAAATATTTACTGAATGAATGCAAAAGGGAATGAATGAATGTTCTGGATGAACAGCAAGTGGCCTTTCATCTTTGGCTGTGGGTAGGAGAACTGCTTTACTCTATTGGCTCTTTCAGCATGGTCCTGTTCTTTATGCTTTAGTATCTTAAGTATGAGCTGATGCACACTAGAAATGCCCTTTCACCTGCCTATGTTCACCAAGGCTCCTCTAAGTGAGGTCCTTATCATTGAATACGTCAATGCCAGGAGGCATAATTCTTATAACTTTAGAAAAATGTGCCACATACCCAGAATGCACAAAGTTTAGTGTATGGGTGAGAGAAAGAAAGGGGAGGTACCAATGGTTATCAGAGGGAAAGGGGGTTGAGGGGAGGACATAGAGAGTAAATGGGGTCAAATGCAAGGTGATGGAGGAAAACTAGATAGACTTCAGGTGGTGAGAACACAATAGAGTATACAGATTTCATATTATAAAGTTGTTCACAATAAATTTGTATAATGTTGTTAAGCAATGTTACCCCCAATAAATTCAAAGTAAAAATAATAAAGGTGGTGAATGCTTGGAAGAGAATATTGATTGGGAGGCAAAAATATTACTGTGGGGGGGGGACACAAACAAACTAGAGACAATAAATGTAGAATGTTTTAAGTTAAAATAGATATGTAATATTGAAATGGTCTTTGTATTGTCTATAAAATGTTTACAAAATTTAAATTGTGAACTTCAGTGGACTTTTAAGAATTGGATTTAGCCTTAGTTGGAAATTGGTGTGTTTGTTTTGATATATCTTCATTCTGGTTCAAAATAATTGCAAAGAGCAAATACCTCCATTTTAATGCAGCTTTAATTTGATGTGAAGCATTTTTATTGGCAGTAGTTCATGATAGTTTGTACTACCATTTCTAATATAATTATATCAACTGTAGGCCCTTGAGAGAACAACTGTGTACCAAATACTTAAATTCTAAATGTCTAACAATATACTATTATTTTGTGATAATTTCTTTCCTGTTTTTACTAGTATTTAAAGGACAAATTTAATTTTTTACTGGTGGTTTTGGAGGGCAGTAGCTATAGTAGCTATCAAAATATTATATGTACATTTCCTTTGACTCAGCAGTTCCAACACCAGAAATTTCTCCTATAGTCACATATATTACAGCAAAGGTTTAACAGCAAAAAAAAAAAAAAAAAAAAAAGGGGGGGGGCAAACAATTTAAATGTATATCAGTGGGGGGGTGGTAAATAAATTATAATACAGGTACATGATATATGATAAATTGTTAAATAAAATCAAGATATATATAAATAATGAGTTTTGTATGAGCCCATTTGTGTAAAAAGGAAAAAATGTAAATCCATATGCACACATTTGGGCAGCTTAAAATTTCTATAAAGTTATCCAAGAAGTTGATAAACAGTGATTTCTAGGGAATTGAACCTACTTTTCTTCTTATACATGTCTAAGTTGTTTTAATTTTTAACCATGTACATATAAATTCTTTTATTTTTAATTTTTAAATGGGTGGTATTACACACACACACACACACACACACGCACGCACGGTAAAAAGTTCAAACACTTGCTGAAACCGGTTTGGCTCAGTGGATAGAGCATCGGCTTGGGAACTGAAGGGTCCCAGGTTCGATTCCGGTCAAGGGCATGTACCTTGGTTGCGGGCATATCACCGGAAGGGGGTGTGCAAGAGGCAGCTGATCGATGACTCTCTCATCGATGTTTCTAACTCTCTCTCTCTCTCCCTTTCTATCTGTACAAAATCAATAAAATATATTTTTTTAAAAAGTTCAAACACTTTAAAAGGGCATATAGAGAAAACTAAATTGCCCTCCCACCTCAGTCTCTCCTCCTGGAGGCAGCCACTATCACTAGTTTCTTGCCTATCTTTCCAGAAATATTCTATATGCCATGTCTTATTTTTAGCACTTAAAATGCTAGTATAAAAAAAGTGTTACAGAAGGACCTTGAAATTGGATAGTTCTGATGATCAAGAAGTCCTAAGTCTGTTTTAACAACTTCATCTTAACCAGAATGATAGCAACCTATTGAAGGTCTATTATGTACCAGGCACTAATCGGTACTTTATATACAATCCTGCAAAAGAGGAATATTTTTTTTCATTGAAAGTATATTTTATTTTTTTTTTCGTGGAATATTTATTTATTTATTATTTATTTATTTTTACATATTTTATTGATTTTTTTGCCCCCCTCCCTCCAACACATCCCCTCCCTCCCCTGAGTTTTATGTCCATTGGTTGTACTTATATGCATGTATACAAGTCCTTCGGTTGATCTATTATCTCCCCCAGATCTTCCTCCCCTCCCCACTGTAATTTGACAGTTGCCGAATATTATTATCTTCATTTTACAGATGAAAAAACTAAGTTAGGTGACTTACCTAAGTTATTTTATAAATTAGATAACTACCTGGCAAATAGCAGGACCAGGATTCAAATCTAGGTCTGTACTCAAATCCCAGCCACTATTATACACACTGATAAACTCTTATCTGAGGTGCCATCTCCGTTTCCATGGCTTGTGTTACCAAGAGCACAGCAATTGGAACTCCATTAATTGTTTTACTTCCCACTTCTTTAGTGAAAAAGTTAGTTTGGGAAAGGAATGCAGATTAGGATACACCGAAAAGGTTAGCTTGGAAACAAGGTGTAATTTAGGATGTTAGGATATACCCAGACTCTGGAAGTTTAGGAGGAAAAGTGTGGCACACATATGAAAGACTTTTCAAAGAAAACTATGGCTTTATCTGCTGGCCATACAAGTGCATATAAAATTACTGTCAAACTCAGAAACTCCAGCAGAGTGCGCTAGAATTATACAACAGACTACATTCAAAGACGGTACCAACAAGTACCAGCAGAGGACACTGCAGACAACTCCACCTCAGATGCAAGCTGCCTGAGTTGTAAAAGCAGACTACCTTTCCATGCAAAGGAAGGCAATGATCCAGTTTCTTATCAAGCTTCCAGGAATCCATCTGGACATCTGCCTCTCCAAGAAAAGTGTTTCTACCAAAACGACCATGATGCCAAACTGAAAACTGCAACGTCCTCTGGGCCAGGAGAGATTCTGGGATCTCATACTGTGAAAAACAAGGAGAAGACCAAGATAATTAGTGATAATTCCTCAGCAAAGATTACTTCAAAATCTGAGCAGCCATACCCAAAGTCCATAGTGTCAAACATCACATTACTCTAGTCCCTAAGCACTATGAGTTTTCTTACTCAAAGCCTCCACTTACTCCATTTGACAAAAAAAAAAAAAAAAAAAAAAAAAAAAAAACAACCCTACCATATTCCATGGGATAATCTGGAAATTAATTTTCCTTGAGTGGGTAAAAGAATACTGGAACATTAAAAAAAAAAAACTGCCCAGAGACTGCTGATCCCAAATGATGCTACTTAAATTTTACTTTATAATTACAGATTATATTCAACATTATTTGTGCTGTACCTTACATCCCCATGACTATTTTGTAATTATCAATTAGTATTTCTTTGTATTGTTGCTAATTCTCACCTGAGGTCATTTTCCCATTGCTTTTTAGAGATAGTGGAAGGGAGGGGATAAAACAGAGAGAAACATCTATGTGAGAGAGACACATTGATTGATTGTCTCCTGCATGCGCCCCAACTGGGGATTGAGCCTGCAAGAAGGTTTGTGCCCTTAATCAGAATATATCATGTGACCCTTCAGTCCATGGACTGATGCTTTATCCACTGATTCAAACCGGCTATGGCCCAACTAATACTTCTTAATCTCTTCATCTTTTTCAGCCAGTTCCCCCAACACCCTCCTCCCCCTTCTTTCTGGTACCCATCACTGTGTTCTCCGTACCTGTGAGTCTGTTTCTATTTTCTTTGTTTACTTTCTTCTTTTTCTAAAACTCTAATTGAATCCCATGTATCCCCTCCCCCACTCACCTTGAATAATGTACCTAATCTTCCTGCCCCTATTCTTGACTGTCTTCTCTCACTAGTATCTACTAGCTCCTGCTCCTGCTCCAGGCAATTCTGGTATGGCTAAAAGAGCACTGGATTTGGAATCAGGTATCCAGACTTCTCACTTTCTGTGTGACTTTACAAACACGGTTGAACCACTCTGGACTTCAGTTACTTCATATGTAAAACAGAATTATAGTACTGCCTCCCTTGTAGGATTGTAGGGCTAAACCAGTGCTTCATTCAGTTTGGGCTCTTTGATTGGGCTGCTGGGGAAACTGAGGTCACTCAATGGCTCTTTAACCTGCTACAAATTCGAGTTTCTTTGGATATATTCCCAGAAGTGGGTTCACTGGATCAGAAAGCAGTTCCATTTTTAATTTTTTGAAGAAATTGCATACTGTTTTCCACAGTGCCTGTGCCAGTCTGCATTCCTACCAGCAGTTCCCGAGGGGTTCCTTTTCTCCACATCCTCACCAGCACTTGTTAATTTATTGATGAGCCATTCTGACAGGCATGAGGTGCTATCTCAATGTGGTTTCAATTTGCATCCCTTTGATGATTAGTGATATGGAGCATCTTTTCATGTATATTAGCCATCTGTATGTCCTCTTTGGAAAAGTGTCTATGCAGGTCCTTTGCACACTTTTTAAGTGGGTTGTTTGTCTTCTTGGTGTTGAGTAGCATAAGTTCTTTATATATTTTGGAAATTAACCCCTTATCATATGTATCATTGTCAAATACTTTCTCTCATTCAGTGTGTTCCTTTTTCATTTTGTTGATGGTTTACTTTGCCCATACAGATTAGTAATTGTCTAAGACATGTCTTCTCGGTAGTAGCTAGGTCCTGCCTCTACTGTGCTTGGCTGAGTTAACAAATGTCTTGTAACCTGTAGCTTCCCTGTCAGTTCCCAGACTCTCCTCCCGGCTAAGCTTTATTTCCTGTCAGTAATTAAAAACTTCTGCTGTTGCTAGAACCACCATAGACACATTGGTTTCATTGGTTGGTAAATGATTGGTCTTCACCACTATAGGGGCCAGAGTTTCTGCCTCCAATTTTCCTCATTTCATGGGTCCAAACTTTGAAGATTGATTGTTGTAATTGCCAGAGTCACTGTAGCTTCAACCACCTCCAAAATTTCTTCCATCATTACCAACTACACTATAGCCATCCTAGCTACCACTACCATGGCTGCCACCAAAGCCACATCGACCACTAAGGTTTCCTCCACAACTAAAGTTGTTGTTCCCATCAAAGCCACCTCGGTAATCATCACCAAAGTTTCCAGAACCACCTTGATCTTTTTGACAGGATGAAGCACAAGCCATCTCTTCTTTAGATAGGGTTTCCTTACACAGTTATGGCCATTCACAGTATGGTATTTCTGAATGACAGTCTTGTCTACAGAGTCATGGTCATTAAAGGTTACAAAAGCAAACCTCTCTTCTTGCCACTGCCTCAGTCAGTCATGATTTCAATCACTTCAATTTTCTCATACTGTTCAAAATAATCTCTTAGGTGATGTTCTTCAATGTCTTCTTTAATACCACTGACAAAAATATTTTTCATAGTTAAGTGGCCATCAGATCATTGAGCATCTTCTCTTGAGACAGCATTCTTTAGTTCCACAACTCTTCCAGCCACCTTGTGTGACCTTGTCTTCATGGCTGCATCCACCTCCTCCACAGTGGTATAAATGACAGACTCCAAGCCTCTGGAGTGTTTGGTGTTTGGATCTCTCATCACCACACAGTCTGTGACATTCTCCATTGCTCATATTCACTTCTCAGACTCTCAATGGTTGTTCCAAAGCCCAAAACTCTGTTAAAGAGCTTATGTATCTGTTAAGGTTTTGGAGGAGACTTTGACATAGACATGAGGACTACAGGGGGGGGGGGGCTTTAATGACACTTACTCATTGGTGTCTACTGGCAGAAAGCTATGTTGTTTATTTTAATCTCTATTTCTGCTATGATTATTATTTCATCCTACTCAACTTGGGCTTTGTTTGTTTTTCTTTTTCTGGTTCCTTTAAGTGTAAGGTTAGATTGTTTATTTGAGATTTTTCTTTTTTCAAAAAAAGAAATCTTTATTTTGAAAGTATTACATATGTCCCTTTTGCTCCCCATTGCCCTCTCCCACCCCCACCCCAAGCCTCCACCACCCTCTGTCTGTGCCCTTGGGTTATGTATATATGCATGTGAGTTCATTGGTTGATATCCTCCCACACTTCACCCTCTTCTGTCTTCCCTCTGAGTTTTGACAGTTTGTTTGATGTTTCTATGTCTCTGGGTCTATTTTTGTTCATCAGTTTATGATGGCCATTAGATTCCTCATGAGTAAGATCATGTGATACTTATCTTTCTCTAACTGGATTCTTTTGCTTAACATAATGCTCTCTAGGTCCATTCATGCTGTAGCAAAAGGTAAGAGGTCTTTTCTTTTTCATAGCTGCATAGTATTCCATTGTATAGATGTACTATAGGTTTTTAATCCCCCCCATCTGTGATGGGCACTTAGGCTGTTTCCAAATCTTAGCTATTGTAAATTGTACTGCTATGAACATAGAGGTGCATATATTCTTTTTGATAGGTGTTTCTGATCTGTTGGGATATATTCCTAGAAGTGGGATCACTGGGTCAAATGGGAGCTCCATTTTTAATTTTTTGAGGAAACTCCAAACTGTTTTCCACAGAGGCTGCACCAGTCTACATTCCCCAAAATGGACATACAGAAGGCCAAAAGGCATGTGAAAACATGCTCAAAGTCACTGATCATCTGAGAGATGCAAATCAAATGACAACAAGGTAGCACTTCACACCTGTAAGAATGGCTATCATCAACAAATCAACAAATGACAAGTACTGGCGAGGATGCGGAGAAAAAGGAACTCTTGTGCACTGTTGAAATTTTCTTGAGGTAAACCTGTATTACTATGAATTTCCCTACTGAGACTGCTTTCATTGTCTCATAAATTTGGGGTTGTTGTGTTTTTATTTTTATTTGTCTCAAGGTGTCTTTTGATTTCTTCCTTGATCTTATTGTTAATCAATTTATTGTTTAGTAATATGTTATTTAATTTCCATGTGTTTGTGTGTTTTTCGTTTTTTCTTGTAATTGGTTTCTAGTTTCAAAAGATTGTGATTGGAGAAGATACTTGATATGACTTCAATCTTCTTAAATTTATTGAGATGTTTTAACATGTGGTCTATTTTGCAAAAAAGTTCCATGTGCACTTGAAAAGAATAACTATTCTGCTATTTTGGAGTAAAATAATCTGAAAATATTAATTAAATCCATCTGGTCTAATGTGTCAAGGCTGCTGTTTCCTTGTTGATTTTCCATCTGGAAGACCTATCCATTAATGTCACAGGGTGTTAAGGTAGTCTGCTATAACTGTATTACTCTTGACCTTTCCCTTTATGCCCATGAATATTTCCTTTATATATTTACATGTTCCTGTGTTGGGTACAAATGTTAACAAGGGTTATATCCTCTTGTTGGATTAATCCAATTATTTTTATGTAATGGCCTTCTTTGTCTTTTTTATAGCCTTTAAAATCTATTTTGTCTGATATAAGCACTGATATACCAGACTTTTTTGCATTTCTATTTGCATGAAATATCTTTTTCCATCCTTTACTTTAGTCTGTGTGTCTTTTGATCTGAAGTAGACCTCTTGTAGACAGAAGGATCTTATTTTCTTATCCATTCAGCTACCCTATGTCTTTTGATTGGCACATCTAATCCATTTAAATATAAAGTGATTTATTGCTATTTTCATTCATATTTATTTTTTTATTTTACTTTCTTTTCTTTAACTCCCTTGAACCTATCTACCCTGTTTCCCCGAAAATAAGACAGTGTCTTATATTAATTTTTTTCTCCCAAAGTTGCGCTAGGTCTTATTTTCAGGGGATGCCTTATCTTTCCATGTGCTAGGTCTTTTTTCGAAGAATGTCTTATTTTCAGGGAAACACAGTAGTAATACCAGTTTGGTGGTGATGAACTCCTTTAGCTTTTTCTTCTCTGGAAAGCTCTTTATTTTCCTTCAGTTTTAAATGGAAGCCTTGCCCGGTACAATAATCTTGGTTCTAGGTATTTATTTATTACTACTTTGAATATTTCATGCTAGTCACTTTTCTCTTTTGTCTTTAACCTTTGCCTTTCTAATTATGATGTGTATTGGTGTGGGTCTGTTTGGGTTCATCCTGTTTAGGTCTCTGTACTTCCGGGACCTGTGTAACTTTTTCATTCATCAGGGTAGGAAAGTTTTCAGTCTTTATTTATTCAAACAGGTTTTAAATCCCTTATTCTCTCTCTTCTCCTTCTAGTTCCCAGATGATATGGATGTTGTTAAACTTGATGTCTTCACAGAGGTCCCTGAATCTTTTTTTTTTTTAATTCTTTTTTTCCTTTCAATTCTCTGATTGGGTATTTTCTTTCTTTTTTTTTAATATATTTTATTGATTTTTGTACAGAGAGGAAAGGAGAGAGATAGAGAGTTAGAAACATCAATGAGAGTCATCGATCAGCTGCCTCTTGCACACCCCCTACTGGGGATATGCCCGCAACCAAGGTACATGCCCTTGACCGGAATCGAACCCGGGGCCCTTCAGTCCCCAAGCTGATGCTCTATCCATTGAGCCAAACCGGTCCCAGCTGATTGGGTATTTTCTGCTGCATTGTATTCCAAATTGCTGATTCAATCCTCTTCTTCATCTAATTTGCTATTGATTTCTGATAGTTTATTCTTCATTTTAGATATTGTATTACTCATTTTGATTTTTTTTATGGTTTCTATGCCCTTTTAGTAGCTCTTTTCTTGAAATTCTCACTGAATTCATTCATTCTTCCTCTAAGTTCCTTCAGCAACCTTAGAACCATTACTTGGGACTCTGTATCACTTTATTGTTTGCCTTCATTCCATTTATTTCTTTTTCTGGAGATTTCTTCTATTCTTTTATTTGGGACATGTGTCTTTATATTACAATTTTATCTGCCTCTGTGTGTTTGTTTCTAAGTATTTGGTAGATATGCTATTTCTCCCAGTTTTTATAAAGCTGTTTTATGTAGTAGGTGTTCTGTGCGTCTTAGTAGTACAGTTTTATGATTACCTGAGCTGGGTGATCCTGTTGCATTTGAGTCTTGAATGATGTTGGCCCAACTGTGGGTGGAGTTGACCCTCAGGTAGGTTCAGCCTGTGAGAATTGACCCCAACCACAGTATATGAGCTTCTGACCCCTGAGGTGGAACTTGCACCTGCAGGTTCTGGTACATGCAAAGACCTCCCTTTCTATGTGCCATGTTCTGATGTGACTTCACACTAGCCACCTATGTGTCTGTTCTTAGGCCTCTTCATAGGGACTCCAGTGCACGTCAATTTAGATAGTCTGTAGCGGGTTCCAGGTGACCTGTTTGGCCCCACAAGGAAATCCATAGTTGGTAGCTGCTCTTGCATGGCCTGAGTTCTTACTGAAAGGGCCAAGCTGTGCATCAAGGCTGGCTGACACAGGTACTGAGTCTGGGGCAGGTCACCAAAACTCATCATCACCTGTTGGCTGCCTATTAGACCCAGCCTCTAAAAGAGCCTCTGGCAGTACTAGAGTTGGATAAGGCAAGTTCTCAGTGAGTTATCTGGTAGGGGTGAGTGTTTCATACAAAGTAGGCACCAATGCTTGGTCTAAGGCCACTCAGCAAAAGTCTCAGTGTATGCTAAGGCCAGCTGCTACCTGCTTGAGGCCTGCAGACCTTTGCAGTGGGGTGGGCCCTGAGGAGTTGGCAAAGAGGAGTTAATGCCTCTCCCTAGGCTGATGCTGTGTGATCATGGAGACTATCCAAACACAGGAATTGTAGTGCCTCCTTGTGCATGTGGGGGAAAATGGCCCTCAATTAAAAGCTACACAACTCAGTTTCTCCCTGTATGAAACCAGTCTCCTCCCTCCTTCGAGCCATTATCCTTTCCATAGTGCCCAAAGTGAGTGCCCGAAAGTGAGATTTTGTGTACTGGTTCTTTAAGAGGGTTCCTGGGTTTCTAGTAATCTCCCATCATACCTTGGTAGGTGAATTCCCTGCTGATTTTCACAGCCAGGTATTATGTGAGCTCCTTTTTCCAACTATGGTACTCTAGGCTAGAGAGCCTGGCATGTAGTTGAGGTCCCTTGCTCCTATGGGGCACTTCTTCAGCAGAAATATTCCTCCAGGTTCTAAACCACAGCAACTGAGTACAGGGTCAGTCCTTTTCATGTCTCTGCCCCTCTTACCAGTCTCAACGTGCCATCTTCTGTATATCCTAAGTTATGACTTCTGTTCAGCTGGTCTTCAGTTAGGTATTCAGGTTAACTGTTCTGTAGTTTAGTTGTAATTTTGATATGGCCCTGAGAGAAGGTAAGTGTAACTTCTATCTACTCTGCCTCCATCTTTGACCCACCAAATGACTTCTGAAATGAAGATTTGTGGCCATGTGAATATTTAACTTCACAATAATCCAAGAAAGCCAGATCACCTTTGTTTTCTTCTCTGGAGGTCAGGATATGAACAGATGCCTATAGTATATTCCCAGACACACACATGGCCATTGAAAGCCATGTCAACCAGCCATGTAGCAGAATAGCTACAGCTTACTTAGTGCACAAGACAGAACATGTTTCCCTTCCCTCTAGATCTGGATACTTACTCTGAAGGTCTCATCATATAATGGATTTATGGTGTCCCTCTTGATGCTGGTTTTTCTTTTTCCTTGCCTGGACTTATCAGGCAGCAGATAAGTCTTCACATATCTGGAAACCAAGGAGAGTATGTAGTAATTCACCATCTTTTCTCAACCCATTCTTCACTTCCATGCTCTCCATATACATATGCCATGAGGAAATTAAAAGGTCATATCAAAGTCTCTTAGATATGCCATTCTTGTATTTTCCTGATCATGGTCCCTTTCCCACATCTCTCCTACCCACTCTCAGTCACACATTTTTATTCATACAGGAAGGGATAATCGCAGTTCAAGAGTTCCAAAATAGATGACAGGGTCTGAGCTCTCATTTCAGAGCATCAGTCAGATTCTAGAAACACTCACGGATTAGAGCGCTTCTTAGCTTCATCAGCATAAGCCAGCTGGTGGCACTCCTTCACATGAATGACCAAAGTCTGTGTTTTCTGTTCATACTTCAGGGAAAAGGCAATCTTGCCAGTCACAGAGATGTTCCCGAAATCACCAGCTTCACTATAGATGCTCATCATGCTGCCTATTGTACTCTGAAGATAAAGCACCCACAAACATCTGATGAAGGCATACTCCCGCATCCACATGGCTCCCATCTTTCCTCATGATACAACCACAGTCACTGAATAAAACAAAAGTTTCCAAAGTTCCTACAACAAGCCAGTATACCAACACTCTTGTATTTAGAGTATGAGACATCTAGTAGCACTCTTACTCATGGTTTCTATAGGTTCTTAGTTTCTCCTCTTCCCTTCTTTTTACTTATTTTATTGTTAATTTTCACCTGCCTAAGACGGTGGACAAAGTATTCGGGTAAGGTGGACATAACTTCACTTATGTTATTTGTTATATATGCTAAAACACTCGCTAGAAGGAGACAGTTATACTTAAAACAAAGTGCCTTAATTATCTGTGTGTTTCCGTTATCTATCTTATTCCTATAAAGGGCTACAGAAAAAAAATAAATGGATCAAAATCCCAGCAGAGGTAAAAATACATCTTCTCAGGTTGTATTTGTATCTCAAGAGATAAACTCTGCAAGCCTGCTATTCTCTTCCTGTGTGTGAGCAGGAACAAACTCTAGTCACTCTGGTTCCTGACTCTTGTTCCTCCTAAACATAAATCTTCATACTTATGATGTAACTAGACCTTGATTCTTAAATGTTCTTTTTAACTTCATGATTATGATTACTACTATTGCTCCTTAGTCACACCCTAATGCCAATTAATCCTGCCAGGGCCATTCTCATGATACTCACTATCCTTGAATGTGAGATCTAGGTTGGGTTCTGATAAGAAATCTGATCTTGATCACTTTATGGCCTGAGTAACTCTTTAAGAAAGAAGTTAAGGGTTACTGTTCAAAAAGTTGTGGTGAAGCATGTCTCTATCCCTAATTCTTACCTCTGTCTCTAGGACAGAAGCTGAGGAAGTCACCTAGCTGTGCAGTAAGCAACCATGGTCTAAATGGAGGACAGGAACAAATGCATCTAGATTACCTGGAAAGAGTGACTAGAATGTTTCCCCAGGTCCTGACTTTGCTCCAAGTTTGTGCTTTCTTCCTTCCTGGTATCCAAACATGTCTATAGTCAAAGAACTAATAGAGCTTACCATGGAGGAGCCACTTCTCAGGCTGCTTCTGGCTAATTTCTGGCGATGCAACTTCACCAGGTGGTCAATGTCTTCTTCTTCTTCCTCTTCTTCCTCTTCCTCTTCTTCTTCCTAAAGCATTAAATATAAATTCAGAGTTAATAAAAGTAATAAATATCTCAAAGACTAGTATTCTTCCTTTAGGAGAAGCCATAAGCCCTGAGGTGTATGTGAACATGTATGTGCATATCCTTATTTTTGTCCCCCCATTTCAGGTTTAAATTATATTCCAACTATCATTCTCAAATATCATTCTCAAGTGGGAAGCTTGGGAAGTGTTGGGGATAGGGGGAAAGAGGTCAACTTAAGGACTTGTATGCATGCATATAAGCACACCAATGGACACAAGACACTGGGGGTGGAATGAGGGCATGCAACTGGGGTAGGGGAGGCTGGGGGAAGGTCAATAGGAAAAAAAGGAAAATATATGTACTACTATATGTATTATTTTAAACAATACAATAAAAAAAGAATATCTCTTTCCCATTTGACTATACAGCCATTTACATTTTAATAAAAAATAAGTATTTATTTGAGCACCCAATCATATATCAAAAATTATATTAGAAGATAAAGACAGTGAAGACAGTCTTTCTTTAATCAATTCAGCAAACAGATTTACTTTAGTAAGTTGGGAAAATAAAGATTCATGTTATCTGCCGAAACCGGTTTGGCTCAGTGGTAGAGCGTCGGTCTGCGGACTGAAAGGTCCCAGGTTCAATTCCGGTCAAGGGCATGTATGTTGGTTGCGGGCACATCCCCGGTAGGGTGTATGCAAGAGGCAGCTGGTCGGTGTTTCTCTCTCATCGACATTTCTAGCTCTCTATCTCTCTCCCTTCCTCTCTGTAAAAATCAATAAAAATATATATATTTTTTTAAAAAAGATTCATGTTGATTGAGATTATCAGGCACTAAAATCTACTCTAGATATATAAAATTTCACCTAGTGACCATGTGAAATAAAAAGGTACTTACCATATCCAGACTGAGTCCAGGGACAGATTTGCTTCTATCTCCCAAAGAGCCACATTCATGCCCCACATCTTCTGGGCGAAGATCAATCACAGACTTAGTATATTCTAAGTGGAAAACCAAAATCCCAAATCAAAGGAGACATACTATTCTCCACACTAATAACCCATCAAGGGCACTCAGAATTTCAATCTCAAAAAGTCATGAAGGGGAAAAAGCTACCTGAAGGTCTGAAGATTTTTCTGGTGTTCTTCTTGAATATCATTTCACCTTCATTGACAGTTATCACATTTTGACTTCCAGACTGCGTTTCCTAGAAAAGAATGGGGCAAGGAAATGGAAAAGGATAGTTGTATAAGTGAAAGGATGGAATGAGAAAGGATAATGTCATAAAGAATAAGGCTCGGGGAACTGACTCAAGATGGCAGAGGAGATAGAAGTTAGACTCGCCTCCTCCAAGGGCCACATCAAAATTATAACTAAATTATAGAACAATCAACCTGGATAACCATCTTAAGACTAGCTGAACAGAAGTCTTATAACTAAAGATTTATATAAGAAACTACTTCAAAACTGGTAGGAAGGGTGGAGATACAAAAAGTGCTAGTCCTGCACCCATGTGCCATGGTTGAGAATCTAGAAGGATATCTCAACTTCAGAGTTTCCTCCTGAGGAGTGAGAGATCTCAACCCCATGTCAGGCTTCTGAGACCAGGGCACCAGTACACATAACATCCTATCTAATAAAAGAGGAATATGCAAATTAACCATCACTCTGCTACACTCACCAGCCACGCCCACCAGCCAATCAGGAGCAAATATGAAAATAAACCCAACCAAGATGGCTATGGCCACAGAAAGCAGGAGGGAGGCTTGGGTTTCCCTGGCAATGGAGGAAGCCAAGCTTTCTGCCTGCCCTTGCCATCCTAGGCCTCCACTCAAGGCTACAAAGTTTCAATTATAGAAGATACATAAACCCAACAGAAATGGCAGCAGCCACGGAGCTAGAAGAGCAGGAGGTTAGGGTTTCCCTGGGTGATGGAGGAAGCCAAGCTTTCTGCACACCCTGGCCAGCCCAGGCCTCCGCTCCAGGCTACAAAGTTTCAATTATAGAAGATACATAAATCCAAACAGAAATGGCTGCCACCACAGAGCAAGCAGAAGGCTTGGCTCTGCTCCAGGCTACAAAGTTTCAATTGTAGAAGATAAATAAACCCCAGATACCAGGGCTACTGCTTAGGTTGCCGGGGTGTGTGGCCAGCCTGCAAACCACCACAGGCCCCTCGCCCAGGCCACCCCACACCCCAAGGGAACCCCACCCTGATCTAGGACATCCTTCAGGGCAAACCAGCCGGCACCCATCCATGCACCAGGCCTCTATCCTATCTAATAAAAGAGTAATATGCAGATTGACCGTCACTCCAACACACAAGATGGATGCCCCCATGTGGTCAAAGATCCTGCCCCCATGTGGACACAAGATGGCCACCACAAGATGGCCAGCAGGGGAGGGAAGTCGGGAGGGACCAGGTCTGCAAGGGAGGGCAGTTGTGGGTGATCAGGCCAGCATGGAAGTGCAGTTGGGAGGGATCTAAGGGAGGGCAGTTGGGGGTGATCAAGCATGCAGGGGAGGACAGTTAGGGGTGACCAAGCCAGCAGAGGAGGGAAGTTGGAGGCGACCATGCCTGCAGGAAAAGTAGGTTGGGAGGGACCCAGGCCTGCAGGGGAGAGCATTTGGGGGGAACCAGGCCTGCAGAGGAGGGCAGTTAGGGGCAAACAGGCTGACAGGGGAGCAGTTAGGCATCAATCAGGTTGGCAGGGGGGTGGTTAGGGGTGATCAGGCTGGCAGGCAGAAGCAGTTAGGGGCAATAAGGCAAGCAGGCAGGTGAGCAGTTGGGAGTCAGCAGTCCTGGATTGTGAGAGGGATGACTAACTGCCCATTTAGGTCCGATTCCACCCACTGGGATTGGGCCTAAACGGGCAGTCGGACATTGCTCTAGGGGTCCCAGATGGGAGAGGGTGCAGGCTGGGCTAAGTGACATCCCCCTCCCCCATGCACAAATTTCGTGCACTGGGCCTCTAGTCTGTTTTTTAAAATCAGTGGGGATTCCAACCACCCAGATGAGATGAGAGACTACTTGGAAACTCAGGCACCTTCTGAAAAAAAAGCATTGTACAAAATCTCACTTGCAGGCACTCAACCTGAGCTCCAATGGATGGATGGCAACTCATAGGATGCCTACATCATGCAGGGAGAAATTGAGTTGTGTGGCTTCAGGGACAGGGCTAGACGGAAAACCACCAATATCCCTGTGTTAAGTTCCTCTCCCACACTGCACACAGATGTCATTTGATCCTGGTTCAGGCACTCCCCTCCATATGGCATTAGCCAGGAGAGAGCTATGCAAACCCCACACTGCCAACTTCCTTAGGCACCACCCTGCCTAGCTTGCACTCATGTGTGAGCTTTACTAGCAGCAACCAGTCTGAGTCTGCATTAGTCTTTCTAAAAAAACAAAAACAAAACAAAAAAACAAAAAAAAATCTCTCAAGGAATTCATGGCAACCTCAGGAAGTGCCAGAAACACACAGGGAGATACTGAGTTGTATGGCTTTAGGGCTAGGGCCAACCCCCAGCTTCTCCCACTACCACATGCCTTACTGGTACTACTGTTGCTGTGTTGGGTCCCCAAACTCCCACCTCAGCATCATCCTGAAGAACTATGTTATCCCAACCCTGCCAAATCCCGGAAACCTCACCCAACCAGGTTCATAAAAGGTTGTGGGATCTGCTGGTGGCAACCAGCCTGAACCTTCATTAGAGTCTTCCTTCAAAAACTTTTGAGGAATTCCAGCAAACTTGGGGGTTCCAGAGGTACACAGGAAACTCACCTCAACATAATAAAGACCATAATATATGACAAACCCACAACCAACATCATACTCAATGAGTAAAAACTAAAACCAGCAGGGACCGGTTTGGCTCAATAGATAGAGCGTCGGCTTGGGGACTGAAGGGCCCCGGGTTCGATTCCGGTCAAGGGCATGTACCTTGGTTGCGGGCATATCCCCAGTAGGGGGTGTGCAAGAGGCAGCTGATCAATGACTCTCTCTCATTGATGTTTCTAACTCTCTGTCTCTCTCCCTTCCTCTCTGTACAAAAATCAATAAAATATATTATTAAAATAAAATTTAAAAAACAAAAACTAAAACCATTTCCCCTAAGAACAGGAACAAGACAAGGATGCCCACTTTCACCACTCCTGTTCAACATAGTATTGGAAGTATTAGTCATTGCGATTAGACAAGAAGAAGAAATAAAAGGCATCCAAATTGGAAAAGAAGTAAAACTGTCCTTTTCCACAGATGACATGATATTATATAGAGAGAACCTTAAGATTCCATCAGAAAAACTACAAGAACTGATAAATGAATTCAGTAAAGTAGTAGGATACAAAATAAATGTTGAAGAGTTGGTTGCATTTTTACATCAAAAATTAAATATCAGAAAGGGAAACATAGAAAACAATTCCATTTATAATTACATCAAAAAATAAAATACCAAGGAGAAACCAAGATGGCAGTATAGGTAAATACCTGTACTGCTACCTCGCACAACAATTTCAAAACTGCAACTGGAAGACAGAATGAACATCATTCAGAACAACCAGAAAGCTGGCTGAATGGAAATTCTACAACTAGAAGGAAAGATAACAGGACGCTGAGACCCAGAGGAGCTGTGGAGGACAGGTGCGGAGACCCGCATGTGTGGAAAGGGAGGGTGGCTGAATATGCAGCTGGCTTACTCGTGCTCAGAGAGGGCGGGCAGTAAGTGTGCGGCTAGATTTCTCGTTCAGGAGGAAAACAAAACCTCCAGACTGCATTGAAATCCAGTTCTGGGTGAGACTTTGAATACTAAGACTCATTCAGGGAGAAACTGGACTGTCTGGCAACAGGCAAAACTCAGGGCAGCTTTCTCTCAGAGGTGTATACAGCCATTGGCACAGGACACTGAGACATAGGGGCCTCGTAGGGTGAGGCTGATGAGAAACCAAGTCTGTCTGCTCCACCCTGAGACTCCACCCCATCCAAGCTGAGAAGCTCTCCCAGCAAAGACACAGCTGATCCTCACAGCCAATTGGCCTGAAGGTCAACTCCCCCAGTAATAAAAACAACAATCTAGGCTTAACTACAACAGGACTGCACACATAGTCCACAAAGGGACACACCAAGAGTGTCCACCTCAGGTAATTGGGGAGGTTGAGCCACTGGGCCCTGCTAAGACACATAGCACCTAAAGCCACTCCATCAACTCAGGGAAGCAGCCAAAATGTGGAGACAAAGAGGCACACAAATGAAGGAAATGGAGGAAAGCAAACAACTGGATATAGAGTTCAAAACCATGGTTATAAGGTTTTTCAAGAATTTCCTAGAAAAGGCCAGGACCGGTTTGGCTCAATGGATAGAGCGTTGGCTTGGGGACTGAAGGGCCCCGGGTTTGATTCTGGTCAAGGGCATGTACCTTGGTTGCGGGCATATCCCCAGTAGGAGGTGTGCAAGAGGCAGCTGATCAATGACTCTCATTGATGTTTCTAACTCTCTCTCCCTTCCTCTCTGTACAAAAATAAATAAAATATATATATTTTTTAAATAAGAATTTCCTAGAAAAGGCCAATAAATTTAATGAGATCCTTGAGGATATGAAAAAGGATCAACTAGAAATTAAGCATACACTGACTGAAATAAAAAAAAAATATATACAGAGACCTAAAAGCAGACTAGAGCATCCCAAGTCAAAGATTTGGAATACAAAGAAGCAAAAAACACTCAACCAGAAAAGAAAAAAGAATTCAAAATATGAAGATAGTGTAAGGAGCCTCTGGGACAACTTCAAGCATACCAACATCAGAACTATGGGGATCCCAGAAGAAGAAAGAGAGCAAGATACTGAAAACCTATTTGAAGAAATAGTGACTGAAAATTACCCCCACCTGGTGAAAGAAATAGACATAGAAGTCCAGGAAGTTCACAGAACCCCAAACAAAAGGAATCCAAAGAGGAACACACCAAGATACATCATAAATAAAATGCCAAGAGCAAAAGACAAAGAGAATTTTAAAAGCAGGAAGAGAAAAAAAGTTAGTTACCTACAAGGGAGCACCCACACTACTGTCAGCTGATATCTCAACAGAAACTATGCAGGCCAGAAGGGAGTGGCAAAAAAATATTCAAAGTGATGAATATCAAGAAACTACAAGCAATATTACTTTACCCAGCAAAGCTAGCATTCAGAATTGAAGGTCAGATAAAAAGCTTCACAGATAAGAAAAAGCTAAATGAGTTCACCACCACCAAACCAGAATTATATGAAAGACTGAAAGATATCATTTAAGAAGAGGAGGAAGAAGAAAAAGATAAAGATAAAAATAATGCACAACAAATACATATCTACAAACAAGTGAATCTAAAAAACAAGGGAATAAAAAATCTGATGAACAGAATAAACTGGTGAATATAATAGAATCAGGGGTATAGAAAAGGAGTGGACTGACAATTCGTGGGCGAAAAGGGGGGGGTTGCAGGAAGAGACTGGACAAAAAGCATACACCTATGAATGAGGACAGTGGGGAGGAGGTAAGGGCAAAGGGTGAGGTAGGAACATGGTGTAGGGGAGCTATAGGGGGGGGAGAAGAACAATTGTAATAATCTGAGCAATAAAGATTTATTAAATTAAAAAATAAAAAATAAAATACCTAGGAATTAATCTAACCAAAGAGATAAAAGACCTGTACTCAGAAAATTATAAAACACTAAAGAAATAAATTGAAAAACATACAATTAAATTAATTATATGCCATACTCAGGAAGAATTAATATTAAAATATCTGTATTACCTAAATCAATCTATAGTTTCAATGCAATTAGTATCAAAATAACAATGGTTCATTTCACAGAACTAAAACAAATAATTCAACAATTTCTATGGAACCATAAAAGACCCTAATAGCCTCAGCAATCTTGAGAAAGCAAAACAAATTTGGACCTATCACACTATCTGATATAAAGCATTACCTCAAGATCATAGTAATCAATCCAATATAGGACTGGTTTAAAAACACACACCAATGGAACAGAATAGAGAGCCCAGAAATAAAATCACAACTATATGGTCAATTAACAAAGGAGGCAAGAATGGGGTAAAAACAGTCTGGTCAATAAGTGATACTGGGCCAAAAAAATTAAGATACCTAGGAATAAACTTAACTAAGGATGTAAAAGACCTGTACTTGGAAAATTACAGGACACACAGAAAAGAGATAGCGGAAGATATACACAGATGGAAGAACGTAACATGTTCATGAATTGTTAGAATCAACATCATTAAAATGTCCATACTACCCAAAGCAATCTATAGATTCAAGGCACTCCCCATTAAAATACCAAGGGCATATTTCACAGACAAAGAACAAACTCTCCAAAAATTCATCTGGAATAAACAAAGACCCCCAATAGCTGAAGCAATTCTGAGAAAGAAGAACAAAGTAGGAGGGATCTCAATACCAGATTTCAAGCTGTATTACAAAGTTACTGTTCTCAAAACTGCCTTGTTACTAGCACAAGAACAGACGTATAGACCAATGGAATAGAACAAAGAACCCAGATATCGACCCAAACCACTATGCTCAATTAATATTTGACAAAGGAAGCAAGAGCAGACAATGGAGTCAAGACAGTCTCTTCAATAAATGGTATTGGAAAAATTGGACAGATACATGCAAAAAAGAAAGAAAGAAATTAGACCACCAACTTACACCATACACAAAAATAAACTCAAAATGAGTTAAAGGACTTAAACATAAGATGGGAAACCATAAAAAATACTAGAGAAATCCACAGGCAGAGAAATCTTAGGCATATGGCAAAACAATTTTTTTCACCAGTACAGCTCCTAGAGCAATGGAAACTAAAGAGAAAATAAACAAATGGGACTACATCAAAATAAAAAGCTTCTGCACAGCAAAAGAAGCCATTAACAAAACAAGAAAGCCCACTGCATGGAGAACATGTTTGCCAAAGTTATCTTCAATAAGGGTTTAATCTCCAAAATTTACAGGGAACTCATACAATTTAACAAAAAGAAGATAAAGAACCCAATCAAAAAATGGGCAATGAATCTAAATAGATACTTTTCAAAAGAAGACAGAAGGAAGGCCAAGAGACATATGAAAACCTGCTCAAAGTCACTAATCATCAGAGAGATGCAAATCAAAACGACAATGTACACCGTCTTACACCAGTCAGAATGGCTATCATCAACAAATCAACAAACAACAAGTGCTGGCAAAAATTTGGGGGAAAAAGGAACCCTCGTGCACTGCTGGTGTGAACTCAAACTGGTGCAGCCACTGTGGAGAAAAGTATGGAGTTTCCTCGAAAAACTAAAAATGGAACTCAAATTTGACCCAGTGATTCCAATTCTAGGAATATATCCAAAAAAACTAGAAATACCAATCAGATATATGCACCCATATGTTCATAGCAGCATAATTTACCATAGCTAAGATTTGGAAACAGCCTAAGTGCCCATCAGCAGATGAGTTTATCAGAAAAACAAAAACAAAAACAAAAAACAAAAAACTGGTACATCTACACAATGAAACACCATGCTGCAGTAAAAAAGTAGGAATTCTTACCATTTGCAACAGCATGGATGGAACTGGGGAGCATTATACTAAGCAAAATAAGCCAGTCAGAGAAAGAAAAATATATTATCTCATTCATTTATGGAATATAATGAACAGCATAAACTGAAGAACAAAACAGATCCAGAGACAGAGAAGCATCAATCAGACCATTAAACCTCAGAGGGAAGGTAGGGGAGAGGGAAGGTAAGGAGGAGAGATCAATCAAAGGACTTGTACGCATGCATATAAGGCTAACCAATGGACACAGGCAACTGGGGGGTGAGGGCATGAGCGGGGAGTGGGGGGGAATAGGGCAATAAGGACACATATGTAATACCTTAATCAATAAAGAAAACAAATAAATAAATGGTTCTGGAAAAACTGGGCAGATAAATGCAAAAAAAAAATGAAAAAGGAACTAGACCACCTTCTTATACAACATACAAGTATAAACTCAAAATGGTTTAAAGACTTAAGTGTAAGACTGGAAACCATAAAACTTCTAAAAGAAAACATAAGCAGTAAACTATCTGACATTGTTCTTAATAATATTTTTTCTGATATATTTCCTCAGGCAAAGGAAACAACAACAACAACAACAACAACAAAAAAAAACACAAGCAAGTGGCATTCATCAAACTAAGAAAAGTTTTGTAAAGCAAAGGACACAATCAATAAACTGAAAAGAATACTGAATGGGAGAAACTATTTGCTAATAATACATCTGATAAAGGGTTAATATAAAAAGAACTTACTAGTATACAATTCAGCAACAACAAAAACAAAGAACACAGAAAATGGGCAAAGGACCTGAATAGACACTTCTGAAAGGGGACATTAGATTCCCAAAAGACATATGAAAAGATGTTCAACATCACTAATCATCAGAGAGATGCAAATTAAAACTACAATGAGATATCACCTCACACTTCTTAGAATGGTTATCATCAATAAGTCATCAACAAATAAAAAGTGTTGGCAAAGATATGGAAAAAAGGGAACCTTCAGGCTCTGTTGGTAGTGCATCCATTTTGGAAAACATTGTGGAAGTTCCTCAAACATTTAAAATAAAATATTGAATTTCCTCCCTGGTCAGTGTGGCTGAATGGTTGGAGTATCAACTCATGCACTGCAAGGTCAGGAGTTCCATTCTAGTCAAGGGAACATACTTGTGTTGCAAAGGCACAGTCAGAGCACATGTAGGAGGCAACCAATTGCTGTATCTCTCTCACATCAATGCCCCCCTCTCTTTCTAGAAATCAGTGGTAAAATATACCTTGGGTAAGGATTAACAAAACAAAACAATGGAACTTCCTTATGACCTAGTGATTCAACTTCTGGGGTTTTATTTGAAGAAATTGAAAAGAGTAATTTGAAATAATACACACACACACACACACACACACACACACACACTTGGCCATAAAAAAGAATGAAGCCTTACCATTTGTAACGACATGGATGGACCTAGATGGTATCATGTTAAGTGAAATAAGTGAGACACAGAAAGAAAAATACCATACGATTTCATTTAAATGTGGAATCTAAAGGACAAAAAAAAGAACAAAGTAGAAATAGACTCATAGATACAGAGAATAGACTGATGGTTGCCACAGGGGAAGGGTTTGAGGACTGAGTGAAAAAGGAAAATGGATTAAGAAGTATAAGCTGATAGTTACAGAAGAGTCACAGAGGTGTAAATTACAGCATAGAGAATATACTCAATAATACTGTAATAACTATTAATGGTGGCAGGTGGGTACTTGAAATATCAAGATCACTTTGCAAAGTACATGATTATGTAACCACTATGCTGTATACCTGAAACTAAAACAAAATAATATTGAATGTAAACTGTAATGGAAAAAATAATAATAAAAATTAAGAAGAATAAGGCTCAGAGTTTCACTAACCTATTATAAACATAAATAAAAGCTTAATCTAAGGAATTTAATTTAATCGTAGGAAGTAGCATGAAACCTATTTTCTCACATGTTTCAAGCAAAACCTTAGAAAATGTCCCCAAATGAATCAGAATTAAAATTTTTAGTTGAATTTTTTATTTAAATTCTTCCAGAGAGAGAGGGAAGATGGGAGGGAAGGAGAGAGGGAGGGAGGGAAGGAGAGAGAGAGAGAGAGAGAGAGAGAGAGAGAGAGAGAGAGAGAGAGAGAGAGAAATTATACCTTTTCTCCCTGAGATTTGGGAGCAGACATCTTCTTCCATTCTGGAAAGAGGCCAGATTTGTCCAGAGAGTCTCTCCTGTAGTTAGATACAGAAGTTATAACAAAACCACATCCTCCCCTCTCCCCTTCCTTTTCTAAAGACCCGAGTTCTAGGGAAGGAAAGCAACTGCCTTGCTCTCACCAAATCCATAAGATAAACTTAATATCAGATTTTCCTTGAAGTAATGTAGATGATTAGATAAGAAACTTTGCACAAACACAAACACCACTACCACCCCATTCCAAAAAGACAGCAGCATCTGTTGCTGCCAGTCCAGGAACACTCCGCCAAGGCACTGGCGGAAGGCTGTGATTGGAGACAGCAGTTGAAGTGTTAATGAAAGACTTAGCAAAGTCAGAGAGAAGACTTCATTCAATTTGCTGAAGAGAAGTCAAAACACTGAAGGCACAGGAGCCCTGCATTCTGATGCTAGAGAACAAAATGGAAACTTTGGATGAACAGATGTGCAGGGATTTGTGGGGATCTCACCTGGATGTGCTATCTGAGTCAGCTGTGTAGCTATCCAGACTCTCACTCTCAGCCTCCAGTGCACTCTTTCCACTTTTCTGCTTGGGCACTTCGATTGATCCACTAGAATAAAACCCAAGAGCCAAGATATAAAGGAAGTGGGCTCTCCTGATGAGTATCAACCTTCCTTCCAACCTATTGACAATGGTAGCCTAAGTGATCTTTCTAGAATAATTATCTCAGTATACTTTTAAATTTGTTCGGCAGTTCCCACTGCTATTAGGATTGAGTTCAAACTCAGCATGTCAAGAAAATCCTTATGACTTGATCCCTGCTCAGCTCTCCAGACTCATCTTTCACCCTCCACTTTGTCTTATACTTTATATTCCAGAATGATGAAGCTCTTTTGGTTCCCCGAATATAACAACACGTTTCCTCTTTTCTCTGCCTTGGATATTATTTTCACAATGGCCATTTTTTCTTCATCTGGCTAAATCTACTCCTTCAGGTCTCTCCTTATGTGTTAATCCTTCCAGATCTCTCTGGACATGTTGCTCCAAGTCTGCATTAGTAACTTTCCTATATGCTCTTAAAGCATCCTGATTTCTTGGTAACAGTCATCACATATCTAATTATCTCTAATTATGTCTTTTAAAGAAATTATTTAATTTGTTCAATAATTTAAACAAATGATTTGTTTAATGTCTTTCTCATTTAGCCTAAGTTATGTGAGATCAGTGAGCATGCATCTTGTTCACTGTGTGTTCCCAATGCCTAGAAGAGAAACTAGCATAGAGTGGGCACTCACATATTTGTTGACTACATTATTGACTAACTGCCCTCAGTGGGGCTTAAAGTATATTTACAAATAAGCAATATGGTTTGAAGACAGTATTCAAAAGACCAGAATTCTTTTTCAGCTTAATGAAGATGACCGAGGCATTCAAAAAAAGCAGCCCTCATCTCTAAAGGAAAGAACACAATGCCTAGACCCCTTACTTTTAAGAGTTTGTGAGAGCAGCAAGAAAGGGGGGGGAAAGTATTTTCCTCAAGCATCTGAAGTAATATCATTTGTCTGCCAAGACTCCAAACTCTCCTGGTCCTCTGATCTCACAGTCTACTCCTCAGTCTCCTGTGCTGGTCCTTCCTCATGTTCTAGACCTCTAATGTTTGGATGTGTCCAGGCTTATTCCTTGGATTCTTCTCTTCACTATCCAGAATTACTCCTACATGATCTTATCTAATCTCATATTCTTTACATATTAGTAAATTAATAATTCCTGAATTTATATCTCAAATGCCAGACTTATATTTCCAAGAGCCTAACTGACTACTTGAATGTTCAAACATAGCAAATATTAAACCAAAGCCCTAATCCTCTTCATACCTTCTCTTCTCTCAAGCTCATCAAATGGCAATTCCTTCCTTTTATTTCTCAGGTCATAATTTTTAAGAATCATCCTTGATTTCCATTGTTCTTTCACAATACAAAACCAACGTGTTAGCAAAGTTTCTTGGCTATATCTTCAATGTTTGTCTAAAATCTAACCATTTCTCACCCCCTTCACTGTTATTACTCTGGTCCAAACCAACATCTAACTCCTGAATGATTGCAATAGCCTTCTAACTGAACTCCCTACTTCTGCCCTTGTCCTGCACAATGTATCCTCAACTCAACAGCTAAATGAGCTTTTAAAATATAAATCCAATATAGAATTACCATATGACACAGCAATCCCACTCTTATGTATATACTCAAGAGAAATGAAAACATGTTTCCATAAAAAAAAACTTGTTCACAAATGTTTATAGCAGCATTATTCCCAATAGCCAACAGCCTAAAAGTCTATCAATGGATGAATAGATAAATGAAATGTGGTCTATATATAAACTGAAATATTATCAACAGTAAGAAGGAATGAAGTTCTAATACATGCTACAACATAGATGAACCTTGAAAAATTATGTTAATTTAAAGAAGCCAGACATAAATGGCCACATTTTGTTGACTCCATTTATATGAAATCTCCACAATAAACAAATCCATATAGAATTAAAGTAGGTTAGGGGCTTGGAAAAATGTTAAATGACTACTTAATAGGTCCAGTGTTTCTTTTTGGATTGATGAAAATGTCCTAAAATACATACTTTTAAAATGTTAAAATTACTAATTTTATACTATGTGAGTTTTACTTCAGTTTAGAAAAAGAAAAAAAAATATCAGTCATCCAGAGCCCTCCATCTCACTTGGAGTAAAAGACAGAGTCCTTACAGCTTACAGTGTCAACAGTCTTACATGATCTGCTTTTCACCACATCTCTGTCTTCATATCCTACCCCTCCCCGCTTCCAATGCAGTTCCAGAATACTCTAACATGTCAAATACAAACTCACCTTAGGTCTTTATAACTTTTGCTTTTTCCACTTAGAATGCTTTTCCCCCAGATACTCTCAGGGTTTGCTCCTCATTTGCTTCACATCTTTGTTCAAACGTCACCTTACTAAGATTTTTCCCGCCGGGACCGGTTTGGCTCAATGGATAGAGCGTCGGCTTGGGGACTAAAGGGTCCTGGGTTCGATTCTGGTCAAGGGCATGCACCTTGGTTGCAGGCATATCCCCAGTAGGGGGTGTGCAAGAGGCAGCTGATTGATGACTCTCTCTCATCGATGTTTCTAACTCTCTATCTCTCTCCCTTCCTCTCTGTACAAAATCAATAAAATATTTTTTTAAAAAGATTTTTCCCTGGATATACTTAATAAAACAGCATATGTATACACATGCTTTCCTGGCATCCCATATCCTTTTAGTCTACTTTATTTTCTCCATAGCACTTGTCAACATTTTATATTCCATATATTTACTTGATTATTTACCATGTGTGTGTTTTCTATCCCCAAATTTAAGCTACACAAGCAAGGGACTTTGTTGTATTCACCAGTATGTCAGACTTCTTAAAACAATGCCTAGCAAATAGTAGGCATTCATAGGTATTTGTTAACAAATAAACTAAACAGTAAATAAACAAAGATTGAAGTAAGCAAAATCTATGTCTTAGGCAGTAAACATTAAACTTTCCAAGTTATCAACTGGTGTTTAAGGTAGTTCTGTGAAAACAGGAGTGGTTGAAATCCTAGGGAATGCAAGAAGTGAAACAGCAGTCATTTTTTAAAGAGATGTATTAGCTTTAAAGTCCAAGACACAGCAGGGAGCTTGATTTTATTTTTACTTTAGGATTATTTTTCCCTCTTTCTATCTACATAGAATAAATAACCCAAAGTAAAACCATTCCTCCAGGTAGTTTAGCAATGGTCCATGGACAGTGTTTTTCTGCTTGTATTTTTCCATAAAGATTAATACATACAGATCCACAGCTAATACAAACAACCCTAGGGGTAAAAAGCAATTACTTGACATCTGTGTAGTAAAAAAATAAACTAAGAGACGGGAGTCCTGGGCTCTAACTATCTGTATGATCTCAAGTAAATCACTTAACCTGGCCTCTTTTCTATAAAAATAGGGGGTTGAATTAGATTATCTCTTAAGCTCCATAATTTTATGGAAAAGATCATTTATGGCCACTTAATCTGTTTTCATGTTTAGAATAAATAAGAGTTTTCTGGATCCAATGAGACAAAAAGTCATAGACAGCCAGAAGCAATAAGATTCAGAAATTACATTCTAACCAATGATGTCAGATGTGTTAATCAGGTTCAGGAAATAAAAAAGTCATTCTTATCCTGATCCAAAAAGGAAAAAGGGGGCTTTATCACCTAAAACAGATGAGTCACCCACCCAAGACTGTGGATAAAATCACACTACATACAGTAACTCCTCACTTTGTGTCATCCATAGGTTCTTGGAAACTGTGACTTTAAGTGAAATGATGTATAACAAAACCAATTTTACCAGAGATTAACTGATATAAACAGCGGTTAAGTACTTATGGCATATTTCTGGTCACAAAAACATGACCAAACTTCTAAATAAAGACCCACAGCACTTCTAATATTAAACACTGAAATAAATGTGAGTTACACAGACATTTAAGAAAGATTAAAAAGAACAAGATAATTATTTTCAACCTACTTATTTCAGTTCATGGTCACTGGTGGCCAGAGACTCAGCTCAGGGTGTAGAACAGGAACCCGCACAGGACAGGATGCCCTTCCATCACAGGGCACATTCACACCCAGCTACACTCACTCACAATGGGATAATTTATACACAACTTAAGCTAACATACACAGGTTTGGGATGTGGGAGGAAACTGGAGTATCCAGAGAAAACCCACACAGACATGGGGAGAACATGCAAATGCCACATAGGCAGTAGCCTTGGCCTGGAATCAAGTATTTTGTCATGAACATTATAACAAAATGACGTTAAATGAAAAAATATTATTTAAGAATTTGTTGTATATACATACAAGGAAATACTACACAGATAGCAGAATGAATGATACAGACCCTTGGTGCTGACATAGAAAGATATCAAGGTTATATTATTCTATATTTTTTCCCTTTTTATAACTTGAATTATAACTGACATAAACTACATGTTTAAGTGTGAAATTTGATGAGTTTTGATATGTGTATACACTCATGAAACTATTACCACAATTAAGTTAGTGAATACATATATCACTACCCAAACTTTCCTTCTGCCCCTTTGTAATCCATCCACCTTTCTGTCACTCAAATTTAGTTTGCATTTTCTATAAACAGAATCATACAGTATGTCTTTTTTGTTTGGATTCTTCCACTCACCATGATTATTCTGAGATTCATCCATGTTGCTGCATGTATCAGTAGTCCATTCTTTTTCATTGCTGAGTAGTACTGCACTGTATAAACAAATGCCAATTTATCCCTTTGGGATGTTTCTAGGTTTTGGATGTTACAAATGAAGCTGCTATGAACATTCATGTATAAGACTTTATATGAACATATGCTATCACTTCTCTTGAGTAAACTCCTAGGAATGGAATCATTGAATCAGAAGATAAGTGTACATTTAACTTGCTAAGACACTACTAAACTGTTTTTCAAAGTGGCTTGACTGTTGCACATTCCCACTAGCAGTGTACGAGTATTCCAGTTGCTCTACATCCTTACAGACAACTG